CTCCTGGACAGATCATCAACCATTTTTCTTCTGAGGGTCTGTACTGATCTTGGCATGTTTTACTATCACTCACTTGTTTGTTTATACTAAATTACAAAATCCCTTTAAAATTGGACAGTTCTGTTTTGCATCTGGACCAATTTTTGTCATACACTGGATTAGACAGTTTCAGAATCAGAATCAATGTATTTTGCCAGGTATGTTGCACATACTGAACAGACTGGACAAGCACACAGACTTAAAGAGTCTCACCTGAAGTCCACTACCATTTCTACAGTCTTTTGTGTGTTTAGCAACAGGTGGTTGCTGCTGCACCAGGACACCAACTGCTTGGCTTCCTTTCTGTAGGCAGACTCCTCACCGTTAACTATGAGGCCCACAACAGTGGTGTCATCTGAAAACTGCAGGATCTTCACAGCTGATCCCTTTGCAATCATTGATGTAGAAACTGAACAGGAGGGATGAGAGCACGCAACCTTCTGGAACTCCAGTACTGAGGGCCTGGGGGGGTCAGACGTGTGTTTTCCAAGTTGCACCTGCTGTCTCCTGTTTGTCAGGAAATCTGCGATCCACTGGCAGATGGGATTTGGCACAGACAGCTGGAACAGTCTGACCTGCAGCAGCTCTGGCACTATGGTGTTGAAATCTGAATTGAGGTTCACAAACAGAACTCTAGTGTAGGTTCCAAGACTGTTGAGATGCTGTAGCATGAAATGCAGGGCCAGGCTGACTGCATTTTTGTTAGTTTTTGTATGTCCTTAGTTTTCCCATTTCACTTTTGTATAGATTTCAGGGGATTCTGGGATTGTTTTTTATTTACTGTAAATTATACAATTGTGGACATCAGTGCCCAGAATTCATAACAAAATACAATAACATACCTTAATTAAAGAAAAACATAGAAATAAGCTTTGCTAGGGGACTCTGGGGGCATGGTCCCCCTGGAGAGGTGTTTTTTTTTTTTTGAGGGCTCCAAAGTGTCTGTTCATCATGACCTTTTAGAGTAGGAAGAGCCAGAAAATGTATCAAACAATGGCTATTTGGTCAAATTGGGACACTCTTAGATATTAGATATCTCGCTTTGTAGTTTGTATTAGGCACTAAGCTAATATGACTTAAGTACTATATCAATCTACTTACAACAGGCATAGATTAAGCAAAGGTACTGAAATCAAGCAATGCTACTTCCTCTCTCTTAGATAAGCACACACAAACACACACAGACACACACACACACACACACACTTTCTGAAACCACTCATCCTTCTGCATCGGGGGTCTTAGATGAGGAGTGAGATCCTAAATATATTATTCAAATACACAGATTATAGATCTGCCTCAGTTAGTGCAATCAAAAAAGTGTTAACTCTGTATGCATGTTTAATGAGTTAAGTGACAAAATTTCATGATCATAGTGACAGATATATTTTCTCAGTTAAGTTCAAATAAATTCAGTATTAAAATAACTGAAAACTTTAATAACTCTTCCTTGCCTTCTTCTTAATCACTAACCTCTATCAGATCTGCTTTTTCAGCCATGTCAGTCTCCTTCAGCATCTTTCTCTCCCTCTCTTCCTGTGATTAGTTACACATTTTTTTTTTTGCAATTAAACTCATTTACAAAACTCCATGACATAGTGCAAGATCAATCAATTCAAATTTTTTTTCAACTCGTAAAAATCTTTTCATCTGACTGGCCTTCGACACAGCTGTTGCATCTTACATCTACATGTTAAGGAATTGAAGGATATAAAGTTGCATTAGGATCAATGTCACGCATCAGGAAGTTTTTTGTTTTTTGCTTAACCCCTTTGTACTGCTGCCTATCGTTTGTGGATCTGTGTTTTTGACCTTTTGGCTTATTTTTTGACCACGACTTTAGTTTATTCCCTTTGTTCTTATCTGCCTGGTATTATTATCACGATTGTGATCTGGTTGGCTTTTTTGGATTTGACCCACGCCTGTTTTCTGACCACGGCTTTGCCTGACGATAATAAAACGACTTTTATCCGCAAGCGTCTGAATTCTGTTGACACGTCACAGAATACCTCGCTGAACATGCAGACGGCGGACCCGGAGGCCTTTCAATAGGCTCTTACTGAACAAGGGCAACTTCTTGGACGACACCAGCAGGTCCTGTCAGGAGTGACTCATTCCCTGGAGTCAATCGCTCACCAACAGGCAGAACAGCAGGCTCAGTTGGCCTGAGACCCAGCGAAATGTTGTGGATTCCTGCTTCAGTGCTCAGTGTATTTTGACAATTCACCTGCTAGCTCAGACCAGGCTAAGATGTAGTGAGTGTGGCCACAAAGGGGTTGGTGTCGAAGTCTGTAATGTTGCCAGTGATTATCTACTGTCATCCAAATTCTCTTGTCATTTCAGCCTTGATCGATTCCGGCGTGGAGGGGAACTTCATCCATGCCAGACTGGTGGAAGAACTACAAGCTCCCGTGAAGACCCTCCAAACCAAGCTTAAAGTGGCCGCTTTGGACGGGGGACCAGTAGGAGTTGGCACCATCTCCCAAGTCACGAGTCCATTAGAACTAGAAACTAGTGCCCTACACAAAGAAACTCTGTCCTTCCTCGTCCTTGAAAATTCGAAATTCGAGTTAATCCTAGGACCCCCTTGGTTGGAAGAACATAACCCCATTATCTCCTGGTCCGAACACACTATCACTAGATGGTCTGACTATTGCCTTCAATCCTGCCTGATTACTCCTTCCTTATCCCTTTGTCCTACCTCGGTGGAAAGCCCAAACGCTGAGTCCATTTTTGAAATCCTCCCTGAATACCTTGATTTGAAAGAAGTGTTCAACAAACAGAATGCCACCAAACTGCTGCCTCATAGACCCTATGATTGTGCTACAGAGCTCATAGAAAACCCTGAATTTATCCCCTGACCCAAGATGAGCAGAAGGCTCTCGACATCTACATCCAAGAAGCCCTCAGTCAAGGATTCATTAGACCATCCACATCCCCCATAGCCTCCAGTTTTTTTTTATTAAGAGAAAAGATGGCGGCCCCCGTCCTTGCATTGATTATAGAGCCCTCAATCAAATTTCCAAAGCCTACCCATATCCTCTTCCATTGGTGCCTGTCGCCTTGGAACAACTTCAAGGGGCCAAGTATTTCACCAAGTTAGACTTACGTAGCACATATAATCTCATTAGGGTGAAGGAGGGGGACAAGTGGAAGTCTTTTTGACCACCAGTGGGCACTATGAATATCAGGTAATGCCCTTCGGGCTCTCTATCACCCCCTCTGTATTCCAAGCATTTATTAAGAATGTTCTCAGAGACATGTTAGGGTACTATGTCATCACATACCTGAACGATATCCTTGTCTATTCACCCAACTTAGAGCTACATGTACAACACGTCCGATCAGTTCTACGTAGACTCTTGCAGAACAATCTGTTTTCAAAAGGGGAAAAATGTGAGTTCCATTAACAGTCCATGTCGTTCCTAGGGTACATCATTAGCCAGCAAGGCGTCATTATGGACGATCACAAAGTGGATGCCGTGGTTCAGGGGCCAACCCCCAAGTCTGTCAAAGACCTGCAGCGATTTTTGGGTTTTGCTAATTTTTATCATAGGTTTATTCGTAATTTTAGTAGTATCACTGCCCCTCTCACATCATTGTTAAAGGGAAACCCCAAGAGAATCACATGGAATGCACAAACACAGAAAGCTTTCCAGCGACTCAAAGAGGCATTCACCTCTGCTCCTATTCTTAAACATCCTGACCCTGCCCAACCGTTTGTGGTAGAGGTGGATGCCCTGGAAACCAGCGTGGGCGCAGTTTTATCCCAACGGACTGGCTCTCCTCAGAAACTACACCCCATCACTTTTTACTCGCATAAGTTATCCTCCACTGAGAGAAATTACGGGATAGGGGATCGAGAGTTGTTGGCGGTCAAGCTGGCCCTGGAGGAATGGAGACATTGGCTGGAGGGAGCCAATCACCCTTTTTCAGTAATCACAGACCATAAGAACTTTGGAATATCTCCGTAATGTGAAAAGGCTAAATCCTCGTCAAGCCAGGTCGTCCCTGTTCTTTGCCAGGTTTTGGTTTAGCATCACATATAGACCTGGCTCTCGCAACACTAAGGCAGATGCCTTGTCCCGCCTTCATCAGGGGGAAAATACCACACCAGGCCCAGAGAACCCAGAACACATTCTGCCCCCTGAAGTCACCATATCTTACATTCGATGGGAGATAGATGAAGCAATAGAAAGAGCCAATCGTGGTCTAGACTTACCCAGCCAATGCCCCCCAGATAAGTTGTATGTACCAGAAGCTTTCCACACACAGCTTATTACATGGGCTCATTCGTCTTTGACGTCAGGACACCCTGGGGAAACCCGCACACACAAACTCCTCACACAACGCTATTGGTGGCACTCCATGACCAGAGACATACATTCCTTGGTTTCTTCCTGCTCCATTTGTTCTCAGTGCAAGACACCTAAGACGTTACCTGCAGGAAAGCTAATGCCATTACTCGTACCTCACAGACCGTGGTCCCACCTCGCTATAGACTTTGCAACTGACCTGCCAGAATCACAAGGGTTTACCACCATTCTTACTGTGGTAGAACGATTCTCCAGAGGGGTACGGTTCATACCTTTCCCAGCTATTCCCAGTGCCTTTCAGACAGCTTTAACCTTGTTTCAACAGGTTTTTTGTAATTTTGGAATTCTTGAAGACATAGTGTCTGACTGGGGGCCTCAGTTCACCTCTCAGGTATGGGCAGCATTCTTCAAACAGATTGGGGTGTCAGTTAGTCCCACTTCAGGGTATCACCCACAAGCTAACGGACAGTGTGAGAGGGTGAATCAAGAACTGGGAAAGTTTTTACGATTATTCTGTCATGACAATCCCTAAATATTTGGTATGGGCTGAAATGGCCCAAAATTCTTTAACCAGCTCTGTCACAGGGATGACCCCTTTTCAGTGCATTCTAGGCTACTAGCCCCCTTAGCTCCCTGGACTGGCGCTCAGACAGACATTCCAGCAGTAGACGAATGGATGAAACGAAGTGAGCAGGTATGGGAGGACACCCATCAACACATAGAAAATGCACTGTCCACGAAGGATTTCCATAACCAGAGGAAAGTTGTAAAAAACTGCAGCCCAAATACACTGGGCCATTCAAGATAGTTAAACGCATCAATGAGGTAACATATAGATTAGTCTTACCCCCTCGCTTTCGAGTCTCAAGATCCTTTCATGTATCTCTTCTTAAACCTGTTGTTACAGGGCCCTTGGACGAGGCTATGCCAGATGTTGCATCACCCCCACCAGAGGTGATAGATGGGGCTCCAGTATACGCGGTCCATAGGTTGCTGGACTCCAGGAGACGTAGCAGGCAGCTGCAGTACCTGGTGGATTGGGAGGGGTATGGCCCAGAGGATCAATGCTGGGTGTCTGCTAAAGACATACTGGATCCGGCTCTGGTTGCTGACTTTCGCAGCCGACACCCACAGAAGCCAGCTCCTCGCCCCAGAGGTCACCCACGTAAGCAGCTGTCCTGCTCTCTTCCTACCCGATCCTCAGGGAGAGGATCCGTTGGTCCAGCACCTCGGCGGTGCAGTTCACGCCCCTGTTCGGAGATGCGGTGGTGCGCGTGGTGGTCGTCCTGGTCGGCCTCAGTCCGAGGCCCACTCGGACTCTTTGGGGGGGGTGATACTGTCACGCATCGGGAAGATTCGGACTTCATTTCCCAGCATACATGCAGAGATCACGTGTCAGAACAACTTCCCTTGGACTCGGAAACCGTAACGGACCACAATCCTTCAGGAGATCACATGACATCACACAATCACATGCACACCTATCAGCGCTCCCAATCTCCAGAATACTAATGTTGTGCACCTGTGTATCTTGTCATATGACCATATTAGCTTAGTATACAAAACCGGGCTTTAGATTTAGACATTGCAAGGTATTGTTTATCCAAGAACTTACTGAGCATTATATTCTGATTGTCTTTGCCTGTTATGACCTGTTCTTTGTTTCCCTGACCTTGTTTTTTGCTTAACCCCTTTGTACTGCTGCCTATTGTTGTGGATCTGTGTTTTTGACCTTTTGGCTTATTTTTTGACCACGACTTTAGTTTATTCCCTTTGTTCTCGTCTGCCTAGTATTATTATCACGATTGTGATCTGATTGGCTTCTTTAGATTTGACCCATGCCTGTTTTCTGACCACGGCTTTGCCTGATGATAATAAAACGACTGTTGCACCTTTTATCCGCGAGCGTCTGAATTCTGTTGACACGTCACAATCAACACTATAAGGCCTGTAGTTCAGTGATATTAACTTACTTTAAACAACAACATACAGCAAATACTGGTGTCACTGTTTCCAAATACTGAAGAGAAATATTACAACAAAGAATATAAAGAGCTGTCAATAATGCTGTTTCTATCTCTCACACTCGTTCACACTCTCACACTATGAAGTGAGGTTAAAATAGTTGGCTTGTCTGCTAGCTAAGGTTAGTGTTAGCCTAAATGTAAACCCAAAGTTAGCTAACTAACAAGTAACCAAGTTAAAACCCCATAGGCAGCTATACTGACCATAATTTGACCCAACTCCATATTGTAAGTGGGTATCTTCACTCTGTAACCACTTACTGTTTCACTCTGTATATTAAAAATTTTAAATAAGGCCTAATGTTTATTTTAGTGAGCTTTAGGCCAAAATCCCGGCTTCAGTTTCAACGGTCGCCACTAACTTTTCGTTGCAGAGCAAGTAAAACCAGAGACCCTCCCCCTGGTCTGATATGACTGGCTTACAACTTATGACATCCGATATGACTGGACAAGCGGGAAGTTCCATTTTTCACATTGCGTTAGCTGATCTCTTGTAGCACAGCAGAGGCAGCACTGCAATAGAGCTGCAGCAGTAGCGCCTCCCCATTGTCACATCCTGCTATAAGAGTGTATTGTGACTGAGAATAAATCATGCATGATTTGAACTGGTAACGTACATTTATTTTGGAAGGGTTACTAAATAACATTTAAATCTGGCCAAGCGACATCCATCTGTAGCCCAAAGCCATTTAAACATTGCCACTCAGTTCTGTGTAATGCCTGAAGCAGTGGATCTTTGGCATTTAGCATTTTGTTTGCTCCACAAAACAAATTAAAAACACACTGTTATGAAATATTTCTTGTTTCAAAATCTATTACAATTAATAAAAGGACACATTCCATACATTAAGAAATATATAGATATTCTCTGAATTGCTACATGCTAATCATCTTATTATGAAGAAGTTTAGAAAGATTCCCCTTCATCCTGCTGTGTCAAAATGTGTTTTAAACAAACAAACAGTGGATGTCTCCTCGTGATAATCCCTGCTAGAAAATCCAGCCTAGACCAGCATAGCTTATCACCAGCAAAACCAGCGTGTGTTGTGTTTTGGATGTTGGTATGCTGGTTCAACCATTATGTCAATGCAGGGTGACAAGCTAAACCAGCACCAGACAATGATTTGACCAGCATAAACCAGCATAGACCAGCATGTGGCTTTCTGAATTGTGTCATTCAGTCCTATTGAATTGTGGTGTGTCTTTCATATCTAGACATCTTAAACAGAAGCATCAGAGCTTCGTGCAAATGTTAATGGCTTCAAGTCTTTCAGTGAAGTAAGTTCACTGAAGTGCTTTATTTGTCAGGATCGAGAGCGCTTCCTAGTGGCGAAGAGTCCGCCAAACACTGCGCAGAAAAGTACTCAATTAAAGAGATAAATTGAAAAAAATCAAACACGGAGACCAAACACGCTGGATTCCATGACATTACCTCCTTTCAGATTACTACTTTTAGTGTCATATCTGTAGCCTAATACAGGTCAAATGTTATAATTATGTAAATTTGATAAGTGGGCTATCTTTCATTTCTATAGCTATTTCTGTCATAATATATAGCAAACAGGAGTCAGCAAGCTAGTCTGATCCCTACTTGAAGTGTAGATGAAGCTACCAGCCTTTCAGCAAACATATTTGTTTGCTAAAATCTAAGCTGAGCTTATAACGTGGCTAATGGCAAAAATATGCACACGTCTGCTGACCTGTACTTCAGTAAATATACGTCAGCAAACAAGTTGGACTGGAATGATGGACAAACATCATTCAGAAAAGGAGGCATTAGGACATTGTCCCTTAAGTAGGAGCTACTTAAGAAACAATGTCCTAATGCCTCTTTTTTTGAATGATGTTTGTTATGTGAGTGACAAAAAGGTGAGCGCTCATGCAACCACCGTTGCTAATCAACACTGGGAAGGACCCGAGATGTGCTGAATTCTCATCAAGTAGTAGAAACTCAAGCCCCCTGGATTTTCCAAGTACTCTGAAAAATGAAAACATGGAAACAGAAGTCTTAAGTGCTCGGTGTTAAAGTCAGTTTAGAGCGGAGCTGCCGCTTTAACGTTGTCCTCATCTCTCTGGAGTCTTCATTCATGTTTCATCTCCCGTTGATCTCGTGACTAGAAATTCTCGTGTCCTCCTCTCACATTCTCAGAAGAGTTCGTATAGAGCAGAACTTTTAAGCAGGAGGCGGGAGGCGGGTAGGTAATCGCCACAGAGAGAGAGAGAGAGACAGAGAGAGAGAGAGAGTAATATAGAGAGAGAGATCTCCCCCATGCAACTCCTCACCCCCGTTATATAAAGGCCCATCGGGTGCGCTTCTCCTCCGTCCAGTGGAGAGCCATGAACACGGCGGAGGCGCTGCGGAGCGCGCTCGCCTGTCTCGCGTTGCTGCCGCGCTTCGTGTTCGCGGCGATCGCGCTGTGGCTCCTCGACTTTCTGTGCGTGCGGAAGCGCGTGCTGGTGCGAGCGAGGGCGCGGGACGAAGAGGAGGAGGTCGAGGGCGAGGCAGAAGAAAAGGAGGGCAGGAACGCGGACGACGACGACGACGACCCGCCGCTCTGCGTGTCCGACTCGGACCGTATGTTCAGTGTGGCGTCGCTGCGGGCCGTGTGGCATGGCCACAAGCTGGACGCGCTGAAGGCGGCGCGCGTGGGCCGCGCGGCGCCCAACAGCGAGGTGGTGCGCCTGGCGGACGCGCGCCGCCGCCGCATCCTGGAGTACGCGCGCGGCGCGCGGCCGCTCGTGCTCAACTTCGGTAGCTGTACCTGACCGCCGTTCATGACGCGCCTCCGCGCCTTCGGCCGCCTTGTGCGCAGCTACGCCGATGTGGCAGACGCGCTGCTGGTGTACATCGAGGAGGCACACCCGTCAGACGGCTGGGCGAGCTCGGATGCGCCCTACCAGATCCCGCGCCACCGCTGCTTGGAGGAGCGTCTGCGCGCAGCGCGCCTCATGGAGCGCGAGGCGCCGCCCGGTTGCCCCGTGGTGGCGGACGGCATGGAGAACACGGCCAATGCGGCGTACGGCGCCTACTTCGACCGCCTCTACATTGTGCAGGACGGCAAGGTGGTGTATCAGGGCGGCCGAGGGCCCGAGGGCTACCGCATCTCCGAGCTCAGGGACTGGCTGGACGAGTACAGGAGGCGCCTGCGCGAGAAGAGGGACGCCGTGGTTCACATGTAGCTTTGGGGGGCGAAAATAAATCGAAGCGACCGTTTTGGAGACGGGGACGACAAAGCTGCTATTAATTTCTGTGGAATCTCTATCAAGAGGACATTCTCTCGAAACAAGGACGTTTTTCTTCTCTCCTCAGTGTTTTTCTGTGCTCCTTCATGTCTCCCTTCGTCTCCAGTGGTGTTTTTCTGACTAGTTTAGAGGTAGTTAACTTGCTCTAGCTCAGCGTCCAGTGTGTGATCATGAACGTGTGTGTGTGGCTCCAGGCACTTGGACGACTTACGCTCACCTCTGTTCTCCTTCTCGTATTGCTGTGAAGGTCGGTTTTTAAACGGTTTCCCAACCAGAAAACCGATACTGATAATTTTAAATACGGCGAGGGAAATAGAAGTGATTTATGTCTGTTTTGTCTGATTTTTTGTGCCGTCCACAAATCACTTTGTAAATTATTCCTTTATATCAAACACGTTTTGTAATAAAACCTCTAATAGAAGTATTTCGTGGGCGAGATTTCATTGTGCATCGAGTTAGGCTGGACAGTGGATTTGTTGTGACTTTGACACATTTTAGGTACTCACACAGAGTCATGTCCATATTCCACTCATGAGGTTTCTCAGTTTGTTTAACAAACGCATGGATGTGCTGTCTGAAGAAAAGTGGGGTTTTTCAGAAAGAGCTCAAAGCAAGCAAAACTTTCACATCATACTGTGGTTGTCTCATGTCTCAAATGTGTAGGATTAGTTTACCAGACAGGAGTTAAGCCTAGTCCTGAACACCTTCCTTTTAACGGAGTATCTGCTTTCAGGATGTCATGTAGTCCAGGACTAGATTTAAGCCCTGTTGTCAAAATCACATTTTAGAGACCTAAAAGAAAATACACTCACTGTAATGGTCACGTTTATGCTTCATATTATTGGATTCTCTGGATTCTTCATATTATCTCTTCTCTGGTCACATTACTGTCCACTTAGCTCAATAGTAGTAGTAAAAGGAGAATGGCCTCCTGATGGCTCATCAATGTTGAAAAAAAAATAGTTCACATTAGTGATTAGTGAGCTTCACTTCTTACTGCCACGCACCACTCAGTTTCTACTGAACAAACATCACTCTTATGTACATTTGGAGAAAACTATTTTTGCATTTATAATAGTGTTTCACCCCTCTTAATGCAAGGAAAGTTTTATTTTTGCACATTTAATGGCTGACAGTATTTATAAACCCTTCATTTAGTGGTTCATTGTTTTCCTAAGCAGGTGAGTGAGCAAATTTGTAGCCGTACACATTTAATAAAAATGAGTTTGAATGGTGCATGAAACAATTAAATAATTTTAGGTTTTCTTAAAATACTGAATTTGAGCTGCATCATATCTGACACAGCTAACTGCTTAATTACACTGTTAAAAAGGTACTGTGCAGGTACACTTTTTGTACAATTTAAATGTATCTTCAAAGGTACAACTTGGGTTTTAAGGTCCAACTTTGTATCTTAAATTAGTTTTTCCCAAGTAAAAAGTTTGTAGTTTTACCTTTTCATAAACTAATGTTTTAAAACGGAACAATAAAATAAAAAGCCTGGTGTGTGGAGTCAATACAACTTAGAAAATATCATTTCAATGGATTATGGTACTGGTAATTATGTCCCCTGACTAAAGGTACTGAGATGTACCCCTGGGGGTACTGCCCCAGTGACAGTTTCATACCTTTATTTCTGCATAGTACAGTAATTTATTCATTAGTAATCAAATTCATTCAGTTTGAGTACTGTGAATCATGGTACAACTTATGCTTTACCTCTCTTTATTCATGTTTTATCTTGTTAATCAGGACTGGTACATTTACTGCTTATCTTCTAGTTCAGATATTATTAAGTTTAGGTTAACAATTTTCTTCAAACCCAGTGTTCATATTCTTGGTTTTATAAACTTTGTGACTGGAGGCATTTTCATGTAATTGCAATATATTATGACAGAAATTGCAATTAACCAATTAGGGAGCCATCAAAAAGAATGATGATAAAAAAAAATTCAGCAGCCATTTATGTCAACTGGAAATAAAAATGACCTAGCTAAAGCTTAAAGACATGTAGATGATAATAGCTATGTGTGGATGGGTCATTGCAAAGACGAACACATACATGAAAGACTTGTAGATTGTTTGACTTTGTTTTAAGGGACTTACATGCTCCCTAACATTTTACTCTACATTGTATAATAAAAAGAGAAAGATTTCTTGCTTTAACCTAAGAACTAAGTGACCTTAATACATAAGGTTTCCTTAAGGTTTGAGTGTATTGAACCTCTAAGGGCTTGTTAAAAGAATAATAATCTGTCTTACCTTGTATTAACTCATTATTTGAAGTTTAAAAACACCATATTTTTACAATGCACTTCACTGGACAAATGTGTGTGTCAGTGTGTATAGATTTAGGAAATACTAATGTTGAGAAATCTGCATTTGAACGAATGAAATATTATTTGTCTGGAATGGAACTAACACTATAGAGATTCTTCCCAAATAATTTGTGCTACTGAAGTGCCTAATACAGAGGTAAGAGAAATTTAACAAGTCACTGACTTTATTTCTTCATTTCAGCTCAGGTTTGTCATTATGCATATTCACTACTGTACAGTACAACAGATAGCTGAGCCTTATAGTCTCAAGTTGCAAAGTGGCAATAATAAAGCAGTAGACATGTGACCAAAGCAGTGACTCAGCAACAATAAATAAAAGCATGCAAATAGCTAAAATGATGAGTTCTTGTTTGTAAATGCTTATGGCTCTTTTAGGTTTTCATTTGGGTAAGAAGTAAAGGATTCATTTGAGCAGATGTCTTAATTGAATGGCTACAAGAGTTTTAAAAGCCAGCCACAGTAACTGTTTGACAACTAAAGCTGCCTCCAATGTCACAAAGCTTTGTTCTTACTTATAAACGTATATTCTATACTTACATTCTCCATTCCATATTCAGTGTTCATTCAATGGCAGTGGAACTTATACATAACATCACAACATTTCACTGAGGGGCAGCATTTGTAAGGCTACGCCTACATAACACAGTCAGATGCACATGTTTGAACACTTCTGGTTTCGCTGAATTTCTAGGTGAAAATATATATAAGTTACCACATCCTCTCTATGAAACCAACTTAAATATGGCATTTTCTACAAATTGTAGTGCACAATTTCTATTTATATGCTGCATGTAATGCATTTGAAAAAATAAAACATATAAAATAGAAAGCTTTTGCAAAGGCTAAATTCTATGTTTTGTTCCCAGTCCCCCATGCTATAGTCACCAAATAAACAGTAATTGTGCATTAAAATGTGCATAAGTGTGTTCTATGTAGAGCAGTGGTCACAAACACTCCTCCTGGAGATCTGCCTTCCTGCAAGTTTCACCTCCAACCCACCTGTAACACACATCATTCAGCTAACTGAGGATTCCTGAAGCAATAATTAGATTTGCATTATTAGTGCTCCTTCTAAATATAATTCAATTATTGTTATTTTTAATCATACATGTACATTATAGTGCAAAAGCCCAATCAACCCTTCACTTATTTAATTTACAGTCAAAATGCAGAAAACATATATTTACAGTCAAAAAGCAGAAAACATATATTTGTCAAAAAATTACACATAAGCCCCAGCAACTAAATATAATGTTACATTTGTCAGAATTGCATGTGTTCACCCTTTGCTTTTTTTTACAACTTCCATTCTTTCCAAGAGACTTGGTTTCAGTTTTTCAAATAAATGTGCAGAGATATTTTTCCTCACCTCCAAAGTTCAGTCTTAAAAGTTGCATTGCTTTCTTTTCACAATCCAAGCAATTCCAAACACATCCAGTGATGCTGAGGTCTGGGTTCTGGGCTGGTCAGTCCACCGTTCTGAGAACACCAGCAGCTTCTTTGTTTCATTTGCATTTTTTTTTCTTTTTCATCTTCTTGCAAAGAAGAAAGCTTTAAGTGGTAGTGCTTTAGTTTATCTGATGGTGACAGGACTGGTTGTCTACCAGGTCCTCCATTATTGTTAAGAGTCCCATTTTCTCAATATCTTTAATTTGTTGAAGTTCACTTTTAGAAACTCACTTTTTTTCACTTATTTCCCTTTGACTTTCCCCTTCCTTATGCAAGTAGATTTTCTTGTATCTAATCTCTCCTGACAATGAGCATAATTATTGGATATTTGGACTGGAAATTAAATAAATGAAAATAAATAATTGAAGGCTGGTCTCTGATTTTTACTGTACATACAGGGAAAGAGTCTGTCGAGTAAAATGTCTTGGAAGGGATAGTGTTGTGTTGACCCATATGAAAATGTCAAGTATTTTAACATATTGTCCATTTTATGCATGGCTTACAGAATGAATTTGAAAATTCTGGTATAGAAAATTCAGTTCCCCTCAGATATCAAAATTTAAATGAGCACAGATCTGTTATTTAAGCAGGAAAAAAACATCTTATATGATAAACCATGTACCATAACAGTGTTCAGTTTAATTCCACATGTTAGTGCCACTCCATCTGTTGTTTTGTTTTGGCAGTGGTAAGCCATTTTTTGATTGAGCTGTTTGATGAGTATTTGGATGTCACTCCTGTCAGCAGAGTATGAGAGAAGTCATTTTTAGGAAGCACTGCACTTCATAGCTCTGTCTCGCACCAAAAGCTATCACTTTTCCTGTTGCCTGGTTACTGTTTGCCTGGTGAGACAGAAAAGCTTTTTTGACTTGCTCTTTCCTTCCTTCCCAAGCTGATGAAACGTCTGCTGATGTTCTCCTCTCTGTAAGATCCATAATTTTTTAAAATTTTGCCTGGTCCTTTTTTGTTTTTCCTTCAAACTAAATAATCCATTCAGCATCAGTGACTGGTTTCCATGGAATCTCAAAATCTGTTGAACTGTTGTTGTTGTTAGCTGAGAGGGAGAAGCAAATGCAGGATTAAGCAAGACTGCAGTGTGTGAAGACACAACATGTGGATGGTCTTGTCTCAGTTTTATTTAGAAAAACCTCAGCTCAGTCTTGATTTCTTATCTCTCCAAGCATCTGTACAAATGCTGCCATAGCAATGGCTTTCTGCCTTTCTGGGTGATTGTATTTCAGCATAAACTTGAAATCAGTTCATTAGTTAATATTTTGTTTTCGGTTTTGCACAATAATGTATACAATGCTTTGAAAAGGTATTTGCTCCCTTCCCAGTTTTTTTTATTATTTGCATGTTTGTCACACTTGAACATTTCATTTATTGAAGGAAAAATGCTGTTCAGTCCTACCTGGCCCGATGTGAAAAAGTAATTGCCCCCTTAGCTACTAAATCAACCAGTTGACTATTGGGTTCAATTTCACTGGCTACACCCAAGCCAGTCTGGCAGTGACTACTGCCAGACCTGTTGAAACTAAACATTACTTGAATACAACCTATCTGGAGATGTGAAGCAGGCTAGAATGTCTCAAAATGCAGCACATGATGCCATGTTCTCAAGAGATTCAAATAT